TCATTTAACTGAGTTCATATATGATAGGTGTCCTGCATACTGCTAGGATCAACGCTATCGAATTCATCGTGAGTAGTGATAAGTTAATAAAGAAGGTGAATTTTAAACTCGGTAATGTTGATTAATTCACCTTCATATTTCATTTCTTGTTTTCAAATTGGTCTTACTTGTGTCTTTCGCTTTTATTTTCCGTTGTTTTCTCAAATGTTGGCCATTATAGATATATATATAATGTATGTATTGGCATTATCGGAAGAATGGAAATTGTTCAATTTTGTCCTCCGAAGTCAATAATTCATTCATTTCCCCTATTCAATTTTCTCGGCTTGTTGGGCATTTTGTCGCGTGGCAAGGAAGTAATATAATTTCTTGTTTTCTTATCAGTTTTACGCATCAGGTTGAGTTCTTTTTGTTGATATTTTTTCAATATTTTCACTTTTCCTTTATTCAACTTTAAATAAGCGATGTCGACTTGAAACCTTATCTTGTGTGTGTGCTAATTTAGCATACCAGTTTATGAACAGCGTGCCAAACAACTTATTTATCATGAATTTGTGTAAGAATTACAATAAAGTGCCCTTTCGGTGTAGAAGTGAACACTATTATTCAAAATATGTGTTCCTCGTGAAAATCAACAAAAATAAATTGGGCTTCAAGTGTAATATTTATTCCGGAAATCTATGTAGCTCAGTGATAGATTCCAAGCAAATATTAGATGTATTCTAGTAATTATTGCAATAACTGTTTAAAAGGAGGTTTGTTTCCTGGAGATGTCAGTGGAGCGTGGGGTTGCCTAAGTGAAAGAGTGAAAGATGTTGGTGGCACCGGCAGTAGTGATTGCTTTTTTTAAGCCTGTTTCACATCAGCCCTATAGAACGGCAGATTTGTACTTCCAAATTCGCATGGCTGGAATTGAGTCCAAAACATCATGTTCAGAGTATGGTGGATGATACTTGCCAAAATTACACAAAGCAAATGTCAAACCAGGAACGTGGTGTGACAATAAAATTATCCAGCCAGTATCCCATGCTTTTTGCTACATTGACTCGAACGCACTCAGCTAATCTATGATTATTACTAGTTCGAGAAATTCTTTTGTTCAGAGAGGCGATGCACGCCCAACATCTAAAAATGTATAGATTACTGAAAATAACATGGTTGTAGCCGTGAATGCCAGTGGGGATATCTATATTTAACAATTATTCCCTGCATTGGAGGTGGCTAATAGTGGATATTTACAAATAATATTATATAGATATAGCAATTGAATTTCTCAACATTTTGGGCCCATTCGAGAAGCCCACTGTCCTAGGCCATTATTCCGGTAACCGTTACCGTTAACATTTTAGTCCATTTCATGTTTTTGTTTTCGATGGAGTTTTTTGAGCCACTGGGTGTGTGCTGTGTTCTTGAAGCCCATTTCTCATTCGGACTCTCGGTCCCAGAATTACTGTGTTAAGCAACATGATGCAGCTCGTTGACCATTCGCGACAGTCACGTGTTATTCCGACTGACCACCAACTTTCCCGCATAATAAGCGCCTGGGTAACATTACTCTTAGCAGATACTTAAAATTTTAAAACTTTTTTCTAGTCAATCCTTAGAGAGCCAGAACTCTGGTGTTTTACATATATAAGTTAAGCACTATCCTTATGTGACGTAAAGTATTTTCAAACCCAAGACCGTTGCTAAAGATAAACATAACCATTTCTTAACTGAATCATTCCTTCCGATTCGAGGAGTACTGTCCCACCAGATAAAGTCTTTGTATAAGCCATTTTTCGGAATTTCACGATGGTGATGCGTTTATACTTGAAATAGAAAACTCACTGTCGAGCACTAAAATAAAGTAACCATATTGGCACCAAGTCCTTCAATACCTGTTTTCCTTTCTTGGTTGCAACATGAATCACCTCTACTTTAGGTTTGGGCTTATGTCCCTCCTGAGGTGGGACCGCAGAAGAAGGCGCCTTTGGTCCGTCAACTGGCCTTTTGGGAGGGGCTGGGCGTTTAGGTGGAGCGGGTCTACGGGGTTTTGCAGAATGCTTTGAAGTTTCCTTCACCAATGGATCAAAGTCACACAGGTCGCCAAGTGCAACAGATGGGCCATCCCCAACTGGTGCAGAAGCAATAGTGACCTGTTCAACCGTTTTGACTTGTGGAGGAGCCTTAGTTGTAGCTTTAGACCTCGCAGGTGCTGGTCTTGGAGGTGGTGGTCGTTTTGGGAGAAGCATTCGGTTGTCATCTTGTTTAGAACTTTCATCTGGTTATCAGGAGTGAGAAAATGACTACTTTAAAGTCATTAGGATCAACCAAACATCTAATACATAGTTAAAAGATTGAAAACGAGCCCTTTTTTTAATCCATCGATCAGCTACAACGCTGGAAGGAAATTCTAATTTTTTTTCTCTGCTTGTCACTCACCAGAGGTTGGACTGTATTGCAAACTGGATATAAAGTTCTCAAACTCATTAATAATTCATCACGTTTAAACAAAGGAAATCACGACCGTGACGGTGTTTGGATATCTGATCTTAATTAGCATGGATTTTACGAATTTCTTTCTCCATTTTTTCCTTAATTTAAGTTTTGATTGAAATTTGGTCAAACACTCAAGACAGGGTTTGACCTCATTTCCGAACACCTCGAAGTTCGTCAAAAATACTTCGCTACGCGTCGTATTTTTAACTCTCTTCTCGGTGTTTGGAAATGTGGTCAAACACGGTCTTTCGTGTTTGATTCATTACTTAGCTCTTATTAACCGAGCAGGAGGTCTGTATGGGAGAATCTTGACCGAGGTCGTGAGTACAGACCGAACGCAGTGAGGTCTGTACACACGACCGAGGTCAAGATTCTCCCATACAGATCGACTTACCTCGGTTAATAAGATGTTTATTATATGGCAAAGACGAAAACTTTAATGCGTTTAATGTAACTGGTTTGCTGACATTTTGCTTGCAAACGGAGATGAGCTTAACTTAAATCTGCCGAAATATGTTCGTCCGCTTTACCTTTTTTTCTGTCACCAGGCTTTTTGGCACTTCCATAAATGATTGAGAAGAAAATAAAAGAAAACGGTGAACATTTTTGTATTTTAGTTTACTTTTTCAACGCAAAATGAAACCGGTGTAGATGGCGGTCTAGATGGGAAAATCTAGACCGCGGTCAATATCGATTTCAGCCAATCAAATTCGTGAATTCGGTATTTCCCAGTCCTTGTGAGACACAGCCATATAATAATTATAAAAAATGCAAAAATATGGGAGGCTGACCGGTCGGTTGCTTAAGTAGCCGAGAATTTGCATTCGGAAGTGTTATGTACAAAATTCTAGGTAACTTCAGCCCAGCGCTCCAACAACTTGGCCAAGTTGTCTGCATATAACCTTTGCAGTTACTATCAAACCAAATTGAAATTAACTTTATTTCAGTTTCTGGTATGATTCATGCACCTACCTCCATCTTTGACCCTAATTTTATTAATCTCGCGGTCTGCCTCTGGTTCGCTATCATCGTCGCTATCATAAGCCAGCTCAAAATTCCCTTTGTCTTCCGGTTCACTATCCGAACTGCCATCTTCGGCAGACTGAATTTCGGTTGACTGAATCTTGATCGGCTCCAAAACGGGCAGCTTGGTAGAGTGATGGCCTGTTGAAGAGGACAACAAATCCGAGAGCGCCCGACCCCTTACTGGAGTCAACGAATTGTTTTTACATTCCTCAGAGTCAAACGAGGACTCGTGCGAGACAAGGCTTTGAACTGTAAGGTCAGTTTTAGACAAAAGTGATTCAGATTTCAGGTGAACTTGAACCTTTTTACCCGATACCTGTAAGAATTAAAAAACGTTTGTTAGCTAACAAGCCAATTGTAATTTGAATCTGATTGGCCTGAAAGACTACATCATTTTTTTTCTGATTGCTTAGAACGAACAACACATGATTTATAAACTAGTTATAACATACAGACACATATACAAGCTTTGTCTGAAAAGTAAGGTATTAAAAGAATGACAACCAGGTCCAACTGATGTGGACCTACTACACGTAAAATTAACTTACACCACTATACAATTACTTAACAAGGTAAAATCAGAGTATATACATATTAAAAATAAATAACAGTTTGATTTATAGTTTAGTTACAACTATGTTTTATATTTAACACAATAATTACCTCTTTTCCGTCCAGCTCCAGGACCTTTAGCGCGCTACGACCATCATCCATAGTCAAAAGAATTTCTTCATCGACCACCCTGCAAGAAGACAAACTGTTGTAGCAGCATTGATATTTCATAGATAACACTTAAAATAACTTTGAACAATCGCTCTTGGAAACATGTATTCACTGTTTCAAGAAGTCTCAATGTAGTAATGTTCCTTACCTTACTAATACAACAGTCCCATAAGGCTCCACGGCACCAAGGAGGTCTGATACATCAATCCCGGCATCCCCATCTTCCACATCATCACTTGTCACTACAACTGTGGGATCAGCGGGTCCCATAGCTTTCATAACATCGTCATGTACCTGACTCTGTTTATCCCGGTCCACCTTCTGTATTTCTATTTCTATCAGGGCTACAACTGGCCTACATTGTATAAAGGGAGATAAAAGTTCACTTGTCAAACAAACAAATACTTTTCGTGAAAAAGGAAAATTAGTAATTAATCACACCTGCTGTGGTAACTAATAGTTTGAGTTTGGAACTGAAATGGTTAAACATGTTTGTGTTATGGCTTTCCAAGGCGATGGAGATGTGTTCACCTTCTGGTAACTAGACTTGTTTGGGCGGTCACTAGAGTTACATGATGATCCAACAATATAATGGTCGAGAGGGAGACCATAATAACACTTGAGATTGCCTGAGGAGCCGACTGCTTTGTGCAGTGTTCGTTTGTAAGTAAACGTTTTTCAGTTTCTATAGCAATACCTGTGATCTGAGGTTTTTAGCTCTGCTCGCCCGTAATACAAAATTTTTCCAGGTGTGAAATGAATTCCTCCACCCTGCGCATTAGCAGCCTTGTCGTCTAAATTAACAAAACTTTAGTTAAGTTCGAATAATAATGATAATGATAGTGATAACGATAATGATAATGATAACGATAATGTAATGATAATGATAATGATAATGATAATAACCCTTAAACCCTTTGCATTCCTACGTTTTATACTACATATAATAACATAATAACACTAATAAAACTTCATTTATACAAGGTTAAGACTACTTTGACTCCTTTTAAAATAATTCAGAAAACAACTTTCATCACTTACATGCAGTGAAATGGTGGCAACTGCCCCCTGATTTTTCAAGCACGAGTTAACTTACCTTCCTTTTCAATTTGGTCATCGTCCTCATCGTCGTCGTCTTCTTCTTCCTCATCATCATCACCATCGCCATCATCATTATCATCCCCGTCTCCCTCTCCGATGAGTAAAGGTTTATCTCCTTGTTCCACTTGGTTGTGCTGTGTAGACACGTGCTTACGGACGAGGGTGGTTGCCTTGTACCGAGGCTTTCTCCGTCTCCAGAGGACACGGTCAGTCCAGGCCGGGATACGCATCTTCTCACTTGTATCATAATCGTCAGAGAACAAGTCATATTTGTAGGTTGGAGGAAACATTATTTTACCCTCGATAAAGCCACGGAAAACCTTGTTGAAAGAAAAGAGCTACCACTCGTTACAAACAAAGAGAGATGCTCGCTCTAAGAAATACTGGGCCAACAATTCCGACAAGTCCTAGACTTACACTTTCCGTCTCCTGTACCTTGTATTTGTAACATAACAAATATTCCCACTGTACATTGTGTTTACAACATAACAAATCTTCCCACTGTACCTCGTAACATAGCAAATCTTCCCACTGTACCTTGTGTTTGTAATACATCAAATCTTCCAACTGTACCTTGTGTTTGTAACATAACGAATCATCCCACTGTACCTTGTGTTCGTTCCTTTCTTTTATCAACTGATCTTCTTTCAAGAGTTCCTCCCATTGTTTGTTCTTTATCAGTTCTTTCACTTCCTCTATGGGTAGATCAACTCGGTAGTTGAAATCTCCACACCAGAATACATAGTCGTGTGAAATTAGCCTGCGGCCCTGAAAGGTGCAATGAGTTCAAGAAAACTATAAATAATGTCATAGAAATCCTGTTCGGTTCCCTGCCGCAGATAATTAAGGACGGTGCCTACTTTTGTTTGTGCGCACACGTTCTGCGCATCACGGAAGGCATGGTTTAAGTGGCACGCGCGCGCTGGGGTAGACATGGACGCAATCAACTACGCTACCAGGTACACGACTAAAATGAAAGCAAAACTTTTCTACTGTGACCAAATCAAGTTTAAAGAACCTGCACTTAAAACAGAATTGCAGCATATCGCTAACCACTAACTGTTAACGTCTTCCAGCTGAAAAACTAGCTGTTATTTGTGGAAAATTATACTGAAATCCAAGTGTCAACATGTACCTGCAGATGGCGTAGTGCACGCGCAAAATAAGTGCGAGATACGCAAATACTTTACTAACTGGGGAGGTGACAGGAAAAAATTGTAACGGGCACCGTAAAAGTTTACAAAAAAAGATCAATAACTCATCAAAACGTGTGGTTACCCCTACATTTTATGTTATGAAATGGAAGTGGCAAGCCTATTCAACACGTGATTAGTTTCTGGTTGTGAGCAAAAGGTATTTAGACTGTATTTTAGTTGAACCAGAGGAAGGCTGTCGGAGACGCAAAAAGCGCTGTTGCAACGACTTTGCTATTAAAAATAAACCAAAAATGGTTTTTATGTTACCATTTACAATGTAGTTTTAAGATCTTTATAAATGTGTTTGCTTTTCTGTATGAAAAGGTGAATTCTAAGTAAATCTGTGAAGAAATGTCCTTTCCTTCTTTTTTCAGAAAAATGCTGATGTCAGCATTTTTGGGGGATTCAGGAATTATCCCGAAAAAATGCGTGGCTACCCCAATTTTTCTTTGTAGATTCCAATAGCCCTTGTAGAGATCTACTTTTTCCGCGTGGTCCTACCCTGGCGTAAAAACGTTTGTATTTCGTAAGCACCGTCCTTAAACCGAAACACCTGCGAAAGGTTGCATTAAATGGTTTACAAAATTGCTGCTCGAAGGTCTTCTCCTAATAGATCGTTTGCAACTGATGTCATCACCGCCATGTTAGATGACCATGAACAAAGTAATTATAATTAGCTTTATTGTTCTTGTCATCCAACATGGCCGACAGGGTCATGGTCATTTGAATCTCTCGGGAATAGCTGCAAACCACCTATTACAAACTTTTGGAAAATTTAAGCACCTCAAATATTGAGTATAAAAAGTGGACATTCGTAGATACTTGCTAAGCTAAAACTGTTGACCACTAATAGCTACAGCATGGACAAGTTTTAGAGTGGTTTTACTTAACCCGTGAATTACATAGTGGAATTGTACACGCCACAACTTTGTATTAGTTGCGACTATCCCCCTGTAGTTAGTAATTCTTTTGTTTTCTAGTCTTTGTTTTTCTATACCATGCACTAATACTAATTAGTAAAATTCTACTAGTACACTAATGTAAATGCTGCAATCTGATTGGCTGAGCTACTCGTATACTATCAGCCATTAGAGTGCGACGTTTTTATCGTTTTTCCGAATTTTTGGCAGAAAGTTTAGATGTAAATGGATAATTAAATTCCTGAGAAGACTAAAAGAAGGATAATTACGGTTTCTTGAGCTTAATTATTGAGTTAACGGGTGCGCGTGCGTAAACACCTGAAAAATTACTAAGGACAATTCAATACGTGCGATTTTGTTAAAGCGTAAAGTTCAATAATGCGTACAAAAATAATTGGAAACCGTTGTTTGCGTTAATTTCAGTTAGAATTCTACTAAAACAATTAGATTATTCGCCCTCGATTTCGATGAGGCGATAGTTGATTCGGCCTACGGGCTCATCAACTATCACCGCATAGAAATCTCGAGCTCATAATCTAATTGTTAATTAGCAGACAATGTTACACACTAACAAGTACTTTCTGTTTCACGGGTTAGGTAAAACCAACCTATTGAGCGGTTAAAAATACTTCCAGCAGTTACCGATTGAACGTGACATGCGAAATTGACAACTGTCAACCACCCCGAACCGTAAAGCCAACCTTGTATTACTTCGCTTTCCAAGCAGCGTGCATTGAGTGCGCATGTTGACAAATAGCTAACATCCCCATAAATTAATACGCTACTAACATATAACATATAGTCATATATAGTTCATCTCCACAATGTTTAAAATTATACCATTGGAAAGGCTATCCTTGACGAGATATCGTGATAATCACTATTTCTGTCCGCTACACCTGACTGACCAGCAGCAAAATGCGAGCAAACAAAGCAGATGGAGGTGGCGTGCAGAAGAAGACGTATAGCCACACCTCCTTTGTTCCCAGCGCTACCACCAAGACCGGTTTTGACGGATTGGACAGCCACGTCCCTGAAAGAAACCACAAAAGAAAGCCATAATTTTCTCTTTTGTCGACACCTGTCTACGCAAAAAGCCTTGACACTGTAAGGATAAATTTTTAGTTACCTTATGTACGGAACAAGATGAGAACGGATAAACACAAACAGACAAACACCAACAAGCTGTTCGCACGTCACTAGCACATAGGCATGATCACGTGATATGATGCGTCGCAGCTCTTCGCCCCATTCCTTTCGTTGATTTGAACTAGAATTTTGAGGAAGCAAGTAGATACTAGTGTCAATGAGATCGCAAAAACTTCCACCTAACGCAGATCTCTACACACAATGTTTCAATAACTTAATGTACTTAGAGCAACAGTACACTTAAAGCAAACTAGAGACCATTGTGGTAAATGGACTATTGCACAGCAAAATAAATAATAAGATAGTATAAAAATGTCCCCGTTGGCTCGGGGGCCTAGCCGTCTCCAATTTTGTCGAGTCCCTGGGTAAATAAATATTTTTCGACGCGCCTATAGCTATATCGATAAGATTATTTTCTCTACAGTCGAAAAACGGCCACCCTCGGGGAAATGGCAGGTGGCCGCTTTACGGGGGTCGGTGTACTTTGATTTCTTAGTGGAATCACGTCAAGAACAATCATGATAAACGTGTGTTTGAGCCGGGAACTTAAACTTGTACTGTACTGTACTAAACGTGTACTGTTGCTCTAAGTATAATATTATGTATTATTATTATTATTATTTATTAACGTTTTGAGGAACGTAAGCGGTCTGCGATCGGGAAACACGTCAGAGAGAAACATGGGAGAGACCCAAGTGGCGGAGATCTTAGACTTAAGATCTTACGGGAGTGCCAAAACAAATTTGACTGCTTAGTTTATAAGATGTTTTTTATAAAAAGAACTTAAGTCAAAGCGAAATTATGTGTATTAAATTTTGGGTGGCCGTTTCATAGGGGTAAAGACAATAGGAAAATCCTCATCGGAACAACCAAAAGATGAAACGTATCCACACTTCTGCGACAGAAAAAAACTTAGAGCCTTTATATTTTTTAAGCAAATCTCTTCATGGTGACCCATGGAGATTAGAAAGAACGAGCGCGAAGGGGGAAACCATAGCTACTTTGCACATTTGGCCGTAACAACACCTGGAAGGGGTACATGGTTGAAGAAGTTGTAAATAACTGTCTTACAAACAAACAAAGTCAAGTTGTGGCATCAAATGAACCCAAAGATGCATTAACTTTCTATTTCAAGCTCCCATACATAGCCGTCACAAAAAAATCGCATAACGGGTTTAGTTAAACGATATTGCAAAAATATAAACATCAACTTAGTTTTCTCCTCCTTTAAAATTGGGTCCCTATCAAGTGTGGAACATCCTATCCCTTGTGGGCTTCGTTCAGGCGTCGTGCATAAATTTTCTTTTTACAATAACTGTCTAATTTCTCGCGCGCTGATTGATTCATTTTTATCATCAATAAGAGTACAGACGGATAAAATTTTAATTTATGCAAGACTTTCAAGTTCAACTTTCAAACTGTCAACTTTTTAAGTAGCCAATCAAAAAGCGAGAAAAGCTATTGACAACGTTCGTGTCATTTTGAATAAAATTCACTTATCTTTGTTTACGGCAAGTTTACGGCGTCTTTTCCCCTCATTTAATCCCGGCATTTGACCATTTTGGGGTCTTGTTATTGTAAAAAACAAATTAACGTCAGTTTTTTATGCGTCTGTCCTCTTATTGATGATAAATTTCGTCATAACATTGTCAAAGTTTACTGCGGAACCACTCGCCTGCGGCTCGTGGTTCCACAGCCACATTAGGGAGCTTAAGCAAACCACGACGACGACGGCAACGAGAACGTCACTAAACAAAAGGTTTAATGAGAAAAACAATATAGCTGTGCATGTGCGTTATAAATCTTTGTACATTTCTTTGCCGTCCTCTGTAAAACAACAACGTTAAATGACCAAGTTCTGCGTCGTCTACTTAACGTTTACGACGACGACTAATATTTCGTATTTCCATTTGGAACTGAACGATGTCATTGCATATTTAGCCCAAGCACGTTTTTAGAACCATTGGCGCACCTAACAGATCTACACAATCGCGAATTTGGTTGGTAAAATATAAATTCATTTTCTACTAGGCGTAGTCCTCGGCGTCGTCGTCGTCGTTGCTTAAGCTCCCTTTTAACAATGTTATGACGCAATTTATCATGAATAAGAGGACAGACGCACAAAAAACTGACGCTAATTTGTTAATTTGCAGGCTGTAACGCTTGCTATGAAACTACCCAACATGTAGGATAAACACTCATACATTGGTATACACCTGGGGAATAGCAGATTTGCACGTTGTCGTCATTTGACTACAACTACCAGAACTCCTTTCGTTTTTTCCTTATTATTTAAATTTTGAATTCCCAGTGGGGTTTCAATAACAATTGTCCTAATTAGCATAAGAAACAGAAAAAGTGAAGGATTCTGGTAGTTGTAGTCAAATGACGCCATCATGCAAATTGCCTATTCTGCTCCAGCTCATGCAGCACATGCAGTGGGAAAACCCTTCTCTCAATCATCAAATCAACCATGTTAATTTAAACTTGTTATGGTAATTCTCACGCTTTTCTTTATTGTAAAAATGTTTTTCTCTTCTTCCCGCTACTGCAGTTATTAACATTTTTCAGTATTTATATTCTACGCTCTACGCACATATTGTAACACAGCTATGAAGGCAGATGTTTCTGCCGAAACATGTCTGTTAATTTTTGAAATTGTTGTCATTTATTTCAAATTAAAAAATGTTAACCGTAAAAAAAAATTGGCTGTAAATATTGCTTACAAGCCACATGACAAGACACAAAAAATCTTGACAACAGATCTGGAAACTTTTACTTTCGTGGCTAACTGTTTTTTCATAAGATTAAATTTGGAAATACTATAAAAATTATCCCATTGAACAGACATATCTCTCATTATGGCTTTCTAACACCTCACTGGATTGACACCAAACAATTATATTTTTCTAGTCTTAATCTATTCTATTTCGCACCTTTACTTGTAGTATAAATTATCTTTTCCATTGCATTTTTCACTTGATATTGGCACCAAGATGACATCGAAACGTTGTTCTCTTTTTTCGCTTATTTTAGAGTTAGGGTTAGTCTACAATTCTTCTAATAATACCTCTTTCCATCCCTGAATGGTCCCGAGACTTAACTATATTTTACGCGAGGCAAAATAAATTTTAACTTTTTTTGAAACAGTAGAGGCCAATTGTTAACGTTTTAAAACAACAATAATAAATTTCAATGACTTCTGTTAACCAGGAAAATAAATTAACTGTTGGCCGTAAAAGAAAATATTAACCTTTAGCAGTAAAAGGCACAACCCCATTAAGACCCTCCAACATGACCGCCGTTTCGTCGTTTCGGGACACCAACACGGTTGCCGTGACGTCATGTGAATACACTACAGACCTTACGCTTCTACTTTGACTTTGAGCCCCAACATTTAGGTATAACATTTCACGACACGAAGTTGCACCAATAAGGATACTGAACAGATCAATACTCACCTTGTTGACATAATATTGGATGCATTTAAGTCTACTAACTCCTCAAAGCCGATAGCAAATACATCTGTTGGTAACCGGAAGTCCACCTCATTGTTCTCCGAATAGCCGCTGTCCGGAAGTGTCTTGTGAAAGTCCAGAAGCCAATCATGCATTGTTTGGTGCTTGTGAGCGATACTCCGGAAGTGTTTGCCGCCATTTACATTCCACGTACCAACACAAATGCGTATATTGGACCATGTGGTGTATTCAAGATGGCGGTCACACAACTCCCTTAAAATAATAGGAGAGGCTACGGAAATGAAAACAAATTCATACGGCTTAGTAACACCATACAGGTTCCAGCTATAAAACACATCTTGTTTCTTCTGAAAAGCCTTCCAAACATCGAGATAGCCTGCCGACAGAATTTTTGCAATTGTTAATATCGTCTTCATAAGCAAGTCAGTTCTATAACTGACATTAATATATGGTTATCTGGTTTTATTTTGACAGTTGATACAGAGTTGAAAGACTTACAGTGTAGAAAAGAAGCATACAGCAGTGCACGCGCTCTTTCACCAAGCTCCCCCACAAATGTGTTGCCTAGCAACAGCATATCAATGGCTTCTTGCTTACTTCCATCTAGGAAATTGTTGACAATGGTTCTGTGAACCGAGCGTGCGCCATCACGAAGTTTATTCATCACCTGAGAACATCAACATTTCTTATTAGAAAATAGCCCAAAGAAAATACGCGCGCTGATAGGTTAAGAATCGTGTTTCTATTTAACAAGTAGATTATGAGCTCGAAATTTCTATCACGCGATGGTTGAAGTCCCGTTTGACATTCTCTAAGTATTTTCATTGGCGCTTTCGTCTTTCGAAGCCGTAACAGTAACATCTCAGCTCAATCGGTATCTCGTGGCCGTTTCATTCACGTTGTTCACGAGTGCGCTCTTTCGTTGTCTACAGAATCTATAAGCTAAGGCGCTTTAAAAACCAAACGAAAAAAAAAAGAAGCGAAAATTATTTTCTTACTAACCTGGGCGCACGAGAGTTGGAATTCAGATCTTGCAAATGATATTTCCCGCGGAAGGTAACATTTGCGAGCTCTATTGTTAAGTAAAACGAGCCTTCGCTTTATCGATCAACGCATCATTATTTTCACACGTTCTGTGTAATTATCTCATTACAATGGAAGAACGCCCCAAAGTATATTTTCCTTCGTATCTCGAAACGAAAATTTCAGCGAGTGAAGCGCACATTTTGAGTTCGCTTCCGGCGAGTTTTCAATGTTTTTCGCTGAAATTTGGAGAGAACGTTACCCGACAATCACGCTAAGAAAGCATGTCGGAAATTTTTTATTTTTGGCTTCTTTGAAAAGTTATGACTATTTTAGTGAAGAGAATGCACGTTTTATCAACTCCCAAAGTTTAACTACATGCCAAAAACAAACCAAACAAGTAAGAGAAAGGTGTCAAGAAGACATAGCAATGTTGATCGCGTCCTCCCGCTCAACTCTGACCGGAAATGAACTTGATTCTTAAACCTCTGTACTTCAGGAAATAGGGCGCTAAATTCAGAAAACCTTAATTTTTTTATTATTTTAATGAATATACCTTCGTAATCTACAATTCTTAAGCTTTCAGAAAATATATACTTTACTGGGGTTTGCGAGAAAAGTCGGACAGTAAAACGGCGCCAACGAATGATGGTCATTTGGGGTATACTGGTGTACCACAAAACATTGTGCGATAGCCACTAAACTAGTGGATGTAAAATCAGAATGAAGAAAAGTGCCGTTGTATCAAAATGCCTATTGTAAAGACTGACTCGCCCGGCTTTCATTATAACAAGGCCCTTCAGCGACATATACACACAGCAGGTGGGTACAAATAAACTAGTGTAACTAGCCTTGTACATCTACTAACTTTGTATAGGAAAGCAATAATTTCTAGGACTTACAAGATTCCACCAGTTGCTTAGCAACATCTCTGCAACATCCACTACAATGTCCACCTCTATACAGTGGCCAAATTTTTTGGTCCAGGCGAACAGTCCATACATTCACTCTTATTTTAATCTCTCTACAACAGCCACCTCTCCTAATTAATGGTAAACGGTTACTAAAACTCGTCACAACTGCCAAAATAACCTCTCGGCAACGGCCAGTTAATTAACAAATGACGAATGGTATATACAAAAACCCCATTTTTATTGTCAAAGGTCACCAAACCTGATGTGTACCGTGCGACGTTGGCGGCTGTTTCTGTTTCGCTTCTGTTGTATGGATCCTTTTTAATTTACGTATGCTAAAATAAGCATTTTTTTGACAAAAATTGTTGCATCCCCGAAAAAAAACAGGTGTCATATTACACCCCTACCTCCCTATAACGGCCACCTCTCTACAAAGGCCACTTTCATCTGTCCCCAGGGTGGACACTGTGGAGAGGTTCCCTTGTTTTTAATTCTCGGTATTCTGACTCATTTGACGCTGAGTGGATAGACAAAAAGGTTGGAACAGTACCTTGGCCCTTCCATCTAGAGCTCCAGTACCTAGGTACATACGGCTGATATGGTCGCCATTTTGTGTCCACATGGTACGGAAAGCTTCCTGAAATCTGGACAGCAATCCTTGTTTGCTGGACAAACCGAGACATTCAACTTGCTGCGACAGCATCTGTATAGAAACACATTAAGGTCACCACTTCACTGCAGGTAATGAGCTACAATAACATGAAAAACTCTTTACTACCTGCATTAAACAGGGAAACAAGCAGCCGGCAATTTTCAAATATTGGATGAGGTTGAGCAGTGGCGAGCAAATATCGTGATTTGTCAGCGGTTTCGGCAAATAATTGATCTGCAAGACACTGACAAATCACGATATTTTGCGATAACCGAGTTCAATAATTGTTTTATCATTCTAATCACTGAGTGTTTTTTCCTTGCAATCTGTCAGTTTTCACATAAGTGCATCCAAACACATTTAGACGGTATTACGCATGAGCGACCATTATTTGTAGGCGGTTATTTGCAGGTCACGTGGTATACCCTCGGCCAAAGAAAATGAAGAAATGCATCCCATGATAACACTTCATATATGCGCTGATGCCTCACATCCATCCTCTAGACTATTTCTGTGTTTTATCAGTACACAATCTGCATCCAACGAGAAGAATTTATAATTGTAGCTATAAAAGTGAAGTATGATCATCGCAGTAAATTTTCCAATTTAAGCAACTGGAAAGAAGAAGCCTGAAAAAAATCAGGGCTTCAACGGGATTCGAACCCG